TGTGTCCTCAACTTGCTTTGGCTGTCTCGGGTGCTTCTTCAGCTTCTTGTCACCTTCCACTGAGATTTTTAGCTGCTCCTGCTGCACCCTCACCTCACTCACTTGCTCTCTTGGGTGATTCTCCAAGGTAACTTCTCTTTTCCATCCTTTTTGTGCACTTCCCCTAGGTCCTTGTGCGGCCTTCCTACTCTCCCTTTGTTTCTGATGGTTTTTCCAACATCTTGGATCTCTACTTTGCAATCGCTTCTATTTATACAGTCCCTCTATCCAACTCATGGGATGCTACTCCAGCCTTTCACCCCACCCCACCCCACCCCCTTGGTGTCTAGCTTCTGGAGCCTCTCTTCCTTGCTGTCCCAGCTGCTTAGCCAGCCTCTCTTCCCACTTTTGGCCTTAAGTGATTTTTTTTCCAGCCTCCCACCTTTTGGTGGTCTACTCTAGTGTTTTCCCAGCTTCTTTTTCTTCTCCCACCTTAGTGTGTCAAGTCATTTTGCTGGCTCATTGGCTTCATGAATGCTTCTCCAGTCTTCCTCTTCACCTCTCCTTGGTGTTTCCTGTGTTTGTTTTTTTTGAGACCCACTGCTCTTCTAGGGGTGTGCCCATGGATTCTTGTGCCTCCTTTCTTTAGTCTTTTGGTGGTCCTGGTACATACCAGGGTTCTCTTTCCTTCACTTTTGTGCCCCCAATGCTTCTCAAGCCTCTTCCCCCTCTCCTTGGTATCTCTTCAGCCTCTCTTCTCTGTTTCACGTTCTCTGCCTCTCCTTCTCTCTCTCGGTGCTTCCACAGTTGCTTTTCTTATTTCCACCACTCCCTCCCCTGAGGTTTCTCCTGCCTTTCTTTTTTCCTCCCTGGGGTCCCACTTACTTCTCCAGGCTTTCTCTTTTCTCTGGCTCTTGCATGTTTTCCCAGTGTTGCTTCTCTTCATTGCTGTATGTCTCCAGACTCTCTCCTATTCCCCCTCTTCTATCATGTGGTGCATCAGCAGCTTCTCATTTTCTCTCCTTGATGGTCTCACCTGCTTCATGAAACTGACTTTCATCACCAATGATGTTGCTGTCTTCTCCAGCCTTTCCTCCCTCCCACGGCTGTTTTTAGGTGCTGCTCCAGTTCTTCTTCCCCACCTTGGCTTTGTGCTGTGTTATGCAGCCTCTTTCTTTCAACCTCCCCAGCTTGGTCTCAGATTTTTTTTTCTAATTTCTCATCCATCATTCACTCTCCTCCAGCCTTTCTTTTGTTTGGTCACAATGGTGCTTCCACAGTTGCTTGTGTCCTGCCTTTTGGTGTTTCTGGGTCTTCTCCAGCCTCTCCTCCTTTAGTAGACCCAGACACAGGCATGAGCAAATTGGGTGGCTGCCCAGGGCCTGGACAGAGAAAGGGGGGCTCAAAAATGATGATAGCTGTGCCTGTGCCACAGGGGGGCCTGATACTAAAAGTTCACCTGGAGGGTCCAGGAGTCTAGGTACAGTGCTGCTCTTTACCCCCTAGTGTCACATTACACTTCCAGTTCTTGCTACTCATCCTGTTTGGTTTGAGGTGCTCCTCCAGCCTCCCTTCTCTCCCCTATTCTCTCATATTTTTCCAAGCCACTCGGTTCCCTTGTTGGCTTTGGTTTTCCTTAACATGCTTCTATTCCTCCATTCTTTTTTTTTTTTTCTGGTACAGCTGCATCTCTGGTCTGTTCTTCCCCCTTGGTCAGAATGCATTCTCACCTACACCCACATCCACTTGTTCCATTTTTCAATTTCCTTCTTCCTCTTCCTTAAGACCTTTTTCTGGGTCTTCTGTTGTCCAGCTTGCTTGACCCCTTGCCCTGCCTAGATAGGTGTTCCTTGGTTCTGTCTCAATTCTCTAACTTGTTTTCCTCCTTGCTGCTTTTGCCCATGTTGCCAGTCTACTTGGCATGCCTCTGTCCACAGGCTCTGAACCCTGCCTTCTTTCCCCTCCTGGTATTGGTGTGCCTGTTTTCTTTGTTTGCATCTCCTGCTCTATTGGTCTGTTCTTGCTATCATAGTTGTATCTTGCTTACTCTGTTCCCAAGTCTCTGCTTCCTTCCAGCCCCATACTGTCATTCCCTTCAAGTCACACCATGTGGACTGGATGCTGCTTACCTCCAGCTTGCAGATGTGCTGGAGGTGCCTGAGCTGGCTTCAGTATTGGTGTTAAATAACTGAGGATATTTTGGACTGTGCTGATGGCTGGAAAAGTCGCAGCTCCCCAGGCTGGGTTGAGAGTGCAGACAGGCTGGGCTCCTGAGGTCAGTGGCAGTGATAGTCTAGACCTCCTCTGAGCTGTGGGACACAGGCATCCACCTGGCTTCAAGAGCTGTGACTACCTGTGCCCTTTATAACTTAGCTTTGGAGGAGTCCTTCCAGCCCCAGCCATTGGCACAGCTTGAGACTGACCCCAGTCCTCAACACCAGCATTTAAATCGGCTCAGGCAGTTCTGGCTTTTTCCTGGGTTGGAGGTTCCTAATCTGCTTAATGATTACTTTGCATTGGTTTTTCACCAGCCCAGAGGGGACCACCCTGCTGAACATGTGGGATGACTGGGGTGAAGATGAATATATGCCCACCATTGGTGTGGATCTTGTGAGGGAACATCTTGAGAGGTTGGACCCCCATGAATTAGCTGGTCTGGATAAATTGCACCCAAGAGTGCTATAGGAACTAACAGACATAGTGCATCTACTGGTGAGGATATCTGAGGACTCATGGTGCTTGGGGGAAGTACCCGAAGATTGGAAAAGGGTTAATGTGGTGCCCATCTTTAAAAAAGGGAGGAAAGAAGACTTGGGAAACTACAGGGCAATCAGTTTGACCTCAATCCCTGGGAAGATTTTGGAAAAAAAATATCGAAGAAACCATTCTTGACAGGCTAACACTAGGCAATATTCTGAGGGATAGCCAGCATGGGTTGCTTACAGGTAGGTCTTGCTTGACCAATCTTATTTCCTTCTATGACCAGGTGATGCATTGCCTGGACAAAAGGGAAGAGGTTGATGTCATATCATATTTGGACTTTAAAAAATTGGGCAACTGCAGCCTCAACTATTCTGCAGTCCAATGGCTGGGAAACTGGCTCAGAGGTTGGACCCAGAGTGGTAGTTGATGGAACCAAATCAACATGGCACTTGGTGACTAGTGGTGACCCCCAAGGCTCTGTTCTTAGACCTGTACCAGTGTCATCTCAAATTATCTAGACACTAGTGTCTTAAGCAGACTGGCCAAGGTTGCTCATGACACCAAACTTTGGGGAAGAGTCTCCACACTTGAGGATAGGCTGGTGATCCAGGCTGATCTTGATAGGCTTGCAAGGGGGGTGGATAAAATCTATAGCATTCAATACAGAGAAATGCAAGGTGCTCCACCTTGGGAATAAAAACTTGCATCATACTTTTATAGGCTTGGCAATGCTGCACTTGCTAGCACTGTCTTGGAAAGAGACTTGGGGATCATGATTGACTACAAGATGAGCATGAGCCCACCAATGCAATACTCTGGCTGGCAAAGCAAACTCTGCTTGCATCCGCTGATGCATGTCAGGCAAGACCCAGGGTGTCATCCTCCAGCTGTACTCGGCCTTTGTGAGGCTGCAGCTAGAGCACTGCATCCAGTTTTGGGCTCCACAATTTAGAAGGGCATGGAGAAGCTTGAAAGAGTCCAGGGGAGAGCAGTGTGCATGATCAAAGGGCATGAGAACAGGCCTTATGAAGAGAGTCTGCAAGCTATGGGACTCTTCAGTCTGGAGAAGCGCAGGCTCATGGGCGACTTGATGGCAGCCTATAAATACATAAGGGGTGTACATCAGGATCTGGGGGAACACCTGTTCACCAGAGCACCCCAGGGGGTGGCTATGTCTAGTCATCACAAACTCCTACAAGATGGCTTTAGGCTGGACATAAGAAAAAAACTTTACTGCCTGAGCCCCCAAGGCTTGGAAACCCCTCCCCCCTGAAGTGGTGTAAGTACCTACTCTAGACACTTCCAAGAAACTTTGGGTATTTATCTTGCTGGGATCCTTTGACCCTAGCTGACTTCCTGCCCCTCAGGCAGGGGGCTGGACCCAATGATCTTACCAGGTTCCTTCCAGCCCTAATGTCTATGAAATCTGTGAAAGCCAGCTAGAGATGAAGGCCTGGAAAAAAAACCAAGAACATTTGAGGAATAAACAAGTTCATTTTCCACCCCCCCACCCTGTGAAAAATTTCATGAATTTTTCATCTTCGTGAAAAATTTAAATTTTTGGAAAAACTAAAACAAAACACTAAAAAAAGCTTATGAAATGTATTTTCTTTTAGAATAAGTGCTTAAGACAAGGTGTTCATGTATTGCTACCCTTTACTCCCCCAAAATGTTTTCTAATAACTGTGTAATAGTCTTACATAAGTCTGTTTATCTATGGTATCAGACCATTACAATTCCTGTACACCGAGGACAAGCAGTACGATACAACTCTCAAATACAAGACCAAGATGCATTTCTCCCCCCAGGGGGCACTGCTGCTTTCATAAGAGAAGGAAGGAGCATTCAGTAGCACCTTTGCTTGCGGACTTCCTCTATTGTTGACTTTTTTGATCTAGAGTTTGGTGGATCTGCTCCTGTCCTCTTGGCTAGGCTTCAAAGGAGTGGCAGTGGCATCCATTTGTTCCTGTAGAGAGAAAAAACAAGGAGCTTATTGCCCTGCTTGCTCAAAAGCCTCAGGAGAGGAGACGGAGCAAGTCTAAAGGCTCTGGAGTTGGAAGGAACCTGCCTCCCTCTAGCCCTTGATGTACAGAAGCAACACATAGGAGCTGAAAGAAAACGTACTACTTTATTGAAAGGTAAGAGTTTAAATTTCTCTGAATTCAGCATTTTTAATTTTATTTTAGCTGCATTAGTATATTTTCATAACCTGTGTAACTCAAAATTGACTTCCTTTTTTTCCCTCAGCAAAATGCTGTGACCAACTTCTAGCATATGGAAGCATTTCCATGCTGCAAGTTATTCTGACACTGTTATTTGCAAATACTGTCAAATGAAATATGCATTTCCAAATGCTACTAGGAATACCAAACATCCTTGTATGCAAGTAGTGTTCTGCCAGACATTAAATTCTTCATGAGTGTAAGTGAGGAGCAGGTGTAGATCATGATGATGAAAGTGCAAGTAGCTCTTTCCAATGTTCTCAATCCAGAAGTGCTGCTGCTGCTTCCATAACATCAGCATCACAAAAGGATGCCCAATCAACATCCTCAAGTAACCAAATACTGCAACCAGCTGTATACAAAAGACTCTCAACAGCTTCATTTGTAGACAAGATGACTCCTTCCTGACTATCGCAGAAAAAAAACTGACCAAGCTCTTGTAAGATCAATATATTCTTCTGGCATGCCATTGTCAATAAGTGAAAATGCATACTGGCAGGAGTCCTTGAAATAACTAAGATCATCATACCGTTTGCCCAGCAGATGTTCTTGAGCAAACCTTTTAGAGACAGAATATGAATGTCTAATGTGCAAGGAAAAATCAGCAAAGCAGTGCCTTGCAGTACTTACAGATGGATGGACAAAGGTATGGAGAGAAGGAATCGTAAACTTTGGGATAACACCTCAGTCAGTTTTTAGGAAAGCATTGAAACCAGAGAGAACAGGCATACTGTAGAGTACATCAGTAGTAAAATGTGAAGTCCTACAGAAGACTGGGAGTGGTAAAGTATTTTTGTTGACTGGCAATGCAAGTAACATGAAAGCAGCATGGGAGATCATAATGGACAAATATCCACATTATTGCAATAGCATGTGCCTCCAAGGGCTAAACTCATTTCTTAATGGCAGCATGATTTTGGACACTGCAGAAAATCTATAGAAGAGCAAAAAAGTTATAAAACCATAGTTTCATAGTTAGTAGGGTCGGAAGGGACCTGAGCAGATGAGGAATAGGGTCCTGGCAGTTACTGGCCACATGGGCCTGGCCAACCCTCTGTTTTGTAATTGTAGTGTCTCAGCATAGTGGAATAGTTAAGCTGGATGTCCAGGCTGCAGCCATATGCCTGGGT